CTTTAATGAAAAATTACAGATGATTATATAATAATGAAAATATATTTATGGATAACGTGGTCCATTACTACCAATAGATCCCCTAAATCCTACACACTGGTCCTTTAAGTTAGAGTTTATGTAGCATGCTGTTTGTTTTCTCTCCTCTCATTCACTTGTTTTATAAAGAGCCCTGTTGGTGCCATATATGGTTAGTTGGAGGCGTTTCTGAAGGCAAATAATCCTGAAAGTGCACCAGCATGGTGGTTAAGAACAAAGCGGGATTTATCAACACTGATTCTGAACGTAGATCAACACTTTTTTGTGCTTACACACATTCTGAATTTCATTCGTAAGACAGAATTTAGAACCTTTTCTATGCACTGATGGTAAATGAGGCCCCTGGAGAGGGAAATCTCTGAGCTGATGACGAGGAGCTCTGAGGTGGAGCAGCTTTCACGCTCTGAAGACCACCTCCACCTCCTCATCACTGAAAGCTGCTCCGCCCACCAAGGACCAGGCAGAGGTCAGCGTCCCACCACCATCACATGAGGGGGCTGTGGTGAGAGCTGTGGCTCAGCTGGAGGAGACTCTCGGTGAACAGATGAAGCTGTTTGAGGCAGAGCTGAAGAAGCTTCAGCGGTTTGCAGTGGATGTGAGTCTGGATCCTGATACAGCACATCCTGAACTCATCCTGTCTGATGAAGGGAAACAAGGCAACCATGGAGATGTGAGGAAGAATCTTCCAGAAGGAGTAATCTTGCTGAGAGCTCCGGATGGTTTCTGGACAAAAAGAAACGAGTTTGCAGGAACTAGTGATCCTCCAGTCAGTCTCTGTCTGACATCAGGTCCTAGGAAGGTGGGGGTGACAGACCAGGACACTGAGTGGATGTGAGCTCTCTTGGGGGGTGCGTGGCCCTGAAAAGGGCCTTTGTTGGTCGGATCCCGGTGCTGCTGCTGCTGGTGGTGTTCAGCCTCCGAAGCCGTACAGAGTGCGGCCCTGCCTCTTGAGAGCGTACACCACATCCATGGCGGTCACCGTCTTCCTCTTGGCGTGCTCGGTGTAGGTGACGGCATCACGGATGACGTTCTCCAGGAAGACCTTGAGCACACCGCGGGTCTCCTCGTAGATCAGACCCGAGATACGCTTGACTCC